CAGCAGGGTTGGTTTCTGAGGCCTCTCTCCTTGGCTTGTGGATGGCTGTCTCTCCCTGTGCTCACAGATCTTTGTCAGAGCTTTCTGTTAATAACTAAGAGAGATAGGTTAAAATCCCCAACTATTACTTTGTACTTGTTTCTTTACATTTTTCAATTGTTATTTATATGCTTCATTTATTTGTATATATGCCTTATATATTTTAAAGTCTTATTGGGTGGACACAAATTTAGACTGGTCAAATATTTCTAGGGGACTTCTCTAATGATGCTTTTAGCCTGAATTCCATTTTGTCTAAAAGTAATGTACCACACCAGCTTTCTTTAGGCTAGCTTTGGAATCCATTTTTAGGCTCTTTCATATTCAACCTTCTTGTATTTTTGTTTTAGATTTCTTGATATTCTTCATTTACCTTGAGCACCTGATCCACTTATGATGTATTGTAATTACTGATATTTTGGGGCTTCAATCTTCTCTTTTTATGTGCTTATAATTTGTACCCTTCCTTATGTTTCTTTTTCTTTCCTGTCCTGCCCACATGTTACCTTCTCTTTGTGGAAATTATACACTCTTTTACTGTTCTTTGAACAGCTATAATAGAAATTATAAGAAGCATTTTAAGGTTATTAAAACCTAATATTGATAAATTTACCTTTTTCTTAATTCAAGGACCTTAGAATATTTTAAAAACATTTATATCCCTCTTGACCAATATGCCAGTGTTATCATGTATTTTATATCAATATTCTAATAAAAAATTTTAACTTTATTTTTATTGTAGACATTATTACAGATGTCCCCATTTCCTCCCCTCAATTTCCCCATCTCCAGCCCTTGCCACCCTCTTCCCCCTGTCCATCACTCATGTAGTCTGTGTATATGTTATGTATATAAGTTTCTTGGCTAATCCCTTCACCTTATTTCATCCAGTCCCCATGCCCACCTCCCCTCTGACAGCTGTTAGTTTGTTCCATGTATGCATGCCTCTGGATCTATTTTGTTCATCAGTTTATTATGTTCATTAGATTCTACATAAAAGTGAGATCATATGGTATTTGTCTTTCTCTGACTGGTTTATTTCACTTAGCTTAATACTCTCCATCCATGCTGTTGCAAAGGGTAAGAGAGCTTCTTTTTTACTGCTGCATAGTATTCCACTGTGTCTACTGATGGCTACTTGAGCTGTTTCTATATCTTGGCTCTTGTAAATAATGCTGCAATGAATATAGGGGTGCATATATTCTCTCTGATTGGTGTTTTGGAATTTTTGGATATATTCCCAGAAGTGGGATCACTGGATCAAAGGGCAGTTCCATTTTTAATTTTTTGAGGTATTTCCTTACTGTTTTCCACAGTGGATGCAACAGTCAGCATTTCCACTAAAAGTGTACAAGGGTACCACTTCCTCCACATCCTCACTAGCACTTGTTGTTTGTTGATTTATTGGTGGTAGCCTTCTGGCAGGTGTGGGGTGATACCTCATTGTAGTTTTAATTTGCATCTCTCTGACTGATTAGTGACGTGAGCAATTTTTTCATATATCTATTGGCCAACCAAATGTTTCTATTCAGGTCCTTTGCCTATTTTTTATTGGATTGTCTACCTTTTGTTGAGTTGTATAAGTTCTTTATATATCTTGGAAATTAGCCCCTTTTTAGATGTATCATTGGCAAATATGTTCTCCTATATGGTGGATTTCTTTTCATTTTGTTGATGGTTTCTTTTGCTGTGCAGAGCTTTTTAGTTTGACATAGTCCCATTTGTTTATTTTTTCTTTGTTTCCTTGGCCTAGGAGATATACTGGCAAAAAATATTGCTATGAGAGATGTCTGATATTTTACTGCCTGTTTTTTCTAAGATTTTTATGTTTTTGCAACTTAACATTTAAGTCTTTTATCCATTTTGAGTTTATTATTATGTGTGATGTAAATTGGTAATCTAGTTTCATTTTTTGCATGTACCGGTCTAATTTCCCCAACATCATATATTGAAGAGACTGTCTTTACTTCATATGTCTTGGCTCCGTTGTCAAATATTAATTGACCATAATGATGTGGGTTGATTTCTGGGGTCTTTGTTCTGTTCCATTGTTCTATATGCCTGTTCTTATGCCAGTACTGTTTTGATTATCATAGGCTTGTAATATAGTCTGTTATCAGGTAGCATGATATCTACAACTTTGCTCTTCTTTCTCAATATTCCTGAGAATGATATTCCAATCAACTGAGCTACCCGCAAAGGCAATACCAAGAATTTTTTTTAGTAAAATTAGTGAAATTTGAAAAAAAAAATATCCTTTGGCATCTATACAAAGAGTATGAAGAAAATAAAATCAGGTTATTATCATGCTTTTTTACAATAACACTTTCTGACAGAAAATAGGAGTAATATATTCAAGATTTTCAAGGAAAGAAAATATGATTCAAGTATTTAATATCTAGTAAAACGTATCATGATGTACAGAGGGTGCAGATGAATGTCAACATGCAAGAGGTCAGAGAAAACTATTTCTAAGAAGCCTTCCAAGGGAATCTACTAGAAAACATGTTTGAGATATCAATGCTTAGAGAATTACTGATAAATATATGCATATAAAAGAGTTAAAAGGGATAAATTATAATATGCAAATGATTATATCTACCTTGTTAATATAATTATTTAAAAATGGGGAAGAATGGTATAATCCAAGAAAAAAAATTTAAGTGTTTTTGGTAGTTGGTAATTGGTCTTTTATATTTAAGTGCAATGTAACAAAATGCCACAAGGTTAGTGGATTAAAACAATAGAAATGTCTCATCTCACAGTTTCCTGAGTCAGGATCCAGGCACAGCTGGCTGGGTCCTCTGCCCGGGGTCTCACCGGGCTAAAATTGTGGCCAGCCTGCTGCATGCCCATCTAGGGCTCCTTCAGGCTCAGCAGAATCTTGGGCTTTGTGTTTTTGACACTGAGGTTCCTGTTTCCTTCAGGGTTGTGAGCAGGAGGAAGAAATTGAAAAGCTATTTGAAAAAATAATGACAGAAAACTTCCCCTAAGTTTTAGATATACAAATCCACGAAGCACAGAGAGTCCCAAACAAGATGGCCCCAAAGGAGCTCATCCAAGACACATCATAATTAAAATGCTAAGGGTTAAAGACCAAGAGAAAATTTTAAAAGCAGGAAGAGAAAAGCAGTTAGTTACTTACAACAGAGGTAGGTAACAACTGTCAGCTAATTTCTCAAAAGAAACTTTGCAGACCAGAAAAGAGTGACAAGAAATATTCAAAGTGATGAAAAGCAAAAATCTACAATAAAGATTACTCTACCCAGCAAAGCTATCATTTAGAATTGAAGTTCAAATAAAGAGCTTCCCAGACAAGAACAAGCTAAGGCGTGTATCACCAGTAAACCAGCATTACATGAAATGTTAAAGGATCTTTTTTAAGAAGGAAAAGATAAATAATATGAACAATAAAATGACAATAAATACATATCTATCAACAATTGAGTCTAAAAATCAAAATAAATGAACAAGGATTCTTCTAATGAAAAAAATAAACTAATGAATAAAATAGAATCAGAGGCATGAATCATGGAACAGACTGAAGAAACTCAGAGAGGAAGGATGAAGGAGGGTGGAAAGAGATTAACTAAATAACTTATGTTCATAACCCAGGGAAATAGACAATAGGGTGGTGAAGGCCTGAGGTGGGGTAGGATCCTGGAGGAGAGAGGCAATGGGGAGGAGAGGCCAGAGACATCTGCAATAATCTCAACAATAAAGATTTTCTAAAAGGAAGGAAGGTGCAGAGGGAGAAAGGAAGAAAGAATGGAAGGACAAAAGAGAAAAAACAGAATGAATAAATAATACATGGTGGGAAAAAGAAAAATAAATTACTAAGACTTATATGAAAATAAAGCCTACAATGTTTATATCTGAGAAGATTTGGTCTAACACGTAAGTCCATCAAGCACATGAAACTTTTTAAATATGTATTTAAAGTTGAAAGGTAATAAATGCATATATGATTATATTTAAATATTTTTTAATTTTTCCCAAATAAGCATTCATATACTCACAAAGATGTCAATGGGAGTTTCATATTCATATCGTAGGCAAAAATTGATTTGTTGTTTTATGAAACTTAGTATTTCAATTAGTCAAAAGTTTTCAATTTGAAATTGACTTCCCAAAAATAAAATCAAAACAAATACAATCAGTCTTCTCATATTTACTTATTTAACTTTCCTGACAAATGAAAAATTAGTCCAGCTATGAAAATAGAAGGCACACATTAAACAAAAAAAAGGCAAAAATTGAGTTTTTCTTTACAAGAATATTTTAAGGCCCAAGTAATAAAAATGCAAGAGACAATACATAGTAAATATTTCCATTTAAATAACAGCATGAAATCCTCAAGAATATTGTTGTCTATTATTTTATAAAAACAGAGGGAAAGATTAGGAATACAAATATTAAAGGCCAATCATCAAAATTAATGTTTAGCATAGAGTACTATTTATATGAACAATGTAAATAGGTAGAATCATCTATTTGACTTAATATAAAATAGATTTCTGGCATATAATTATTTTAAAAATGAGAATGATCATTTTAATTCATCCAATTCAAGTATTCATTCAGCCAAGGGAACAATATAAGCCTCTTAAAAATTCAAGATCTACAGCTTAATATTAGAAATTTTCTTAATATAATACATAGAATATTCTGATCTTTACTGAATTACACTTTACAAAGATGTATATTCAAGTGCTGTATAGCTTAAAATAAAATCTAACTGGTCACTAAAATTCTTTGATAAAATTATCACTGTAATTGTATGAGGCAAAGTCCTATAATAAGATGAATGTAATAATGGCCACAATCTTTTCAAAAACAGAATATGGAAGTTTTCATTTTATGAATTTGGTTTTCCAAAATTTGGTTCCCAAAGCCAATTTCTAAATGTTACAGCAGAGGTGGAGGGGGGTGGGTAATAAAAATAAATGATTTAATAGAACTCTGAAGAAAAAAATAACTATCCTAGATCTTAGTTTGAAAAATATATCTGGCATAAGAGATTCAAAATTACATAATAATGCTTATATCAAAGCCTATTAGTTAGCTAAAGCGCAAAAACTAAAAAGCAAGTAGAATGTAATATTTGCTTTCAACAAAGCAAACTGAGTAATATGTTAAGTGTTAGGGTGGGATAGGAAAGAACTCAAGCCAGGCAAAAGTTTCCTCTTGGACCTTCTCTATAAACAGCTATTTTAGTTTTGGACTGTTCCTCAGTGTGCTCATGTGATGGAGGGAGGAAGTCTGCCCACCCACAAAAAGCTCCCCACACCAACAGGTCTTTGTCCAGTGGTTCTAGAAAGGCAGCTGGTCCTCTGAGCTCCCTGGGGCTCCATGGGACTTGGAGGTACAGAAAAATGGAGTCCAATTTGCATAACACATTAAACCATCCTAATAGGAATCTTCTGTGAACTGAGTTATTCAAATGCCAGCTAACAGTATAGATTCTAGCTAATAACCATGGATAAGTATCTGTCTTGAAAATGCCTGTAAGAAGTCAGTTTACTGGTTCTAGGTCCTCCCAGAATCAGAGCTTCCTAAGGTCTGGGAAATCCTCAGCTCCCTTTAATTATCTTTCCAGATAAAATCTTAATGAATATAGTTTAAGTCCTTTATTGGGCTCTGTAATCCCTTCAACCAAATAGGCTGCAGTTGTTTTAAGAAACTTTTTATTTCATTGAAAAATGTGGGAGGGTATTTTGATATTATCTAAGTAAAGTCAGTGGCTAGACACTATTCACCCCAAACCAAAGAATGCTGCCTTCAGGAGTTGTCAGAAAGGAAATCAAATGATACACCGAGAGAGCACATTGTGCGCACAGCAGAGCCCTTCCTTCAGCACAACCTGTCATGCTCTGTCTGAGGAAGCTCCAGGCCACCTGGTATGTCAAGTGTGATGCAACTTCAGTCTTTCTAAATCCAAAGTCGCAAGCTTCCGAAGAACTTCAAGCACAATTTTATAACAAAACCAATACTGCTCCTGTAGACATATATATGGAAAACAACAGACCGTTAAGTAACTGAATACCAATATCCACTTTCAGAGAACACATTTGTAATTTTCAGCCACAGAGAAAGTTCCTAAAGAGCACACATTTAACTAAGAACTTCTGTACATAAATATATTTTTTAAAATATCAGAAACATAAATGATCACAATATAGTTCTTGGTCTAAAACTAAAGTCTTAACTGAATAGAGGGGAAACTAACTCTCAAACTCATTCTACTTATATTTTCCTTGGATGAATCACATTTTAAACTTTTTTTTAGATATAGCCTCAGGTCTCTCAGACAACAATAGTTCAAATAAAATGCTCCATATTGCTCAATGTTGGCCTAAAAACAGGTCAGCCTGAAGATTCAGGGGTACCTATTTTCATTATCCAGACTCTCTTAACCCCCCAAAATGACTAATAATTAACCTGTGAAAGAAATGATAGTTTTATGACTATCATGACTAATGAGATTAATATTTTAGTGGCAAGTAAATATCCCAGAATTGCTATCCATAAATTTATGAAAATTCATTGAGACATGTTTCTCTAACAAAGCTTGCGTGTGGGCACTGGGAGACTTGGTCTCAGTCTCAGCTCTTCCATTTGCTACCAGAATGAAGTTACTTCATGGAAAAGACTGCATTGCTCTGAACTTGAAGGTCTGCATCACTAATGTCTACCTCAAAAGTGAGAACTCAGTGAGCTCATGTAGGTGAAAGAGCTCTATAAATTGTAATATGCTATACAGTGAATCTCTATATTCATTATTCTTCAAATTAGAATTATGACATGAGAGCTTACCTTTGTTTGAATCATGCCATAACGTTGTGCTCTCATTTGGGCCACGATATCTTTGATGTTGAACTGCAACAGGATGACAGTAATTCTATGTTATCCATATAGAGCGAAACATAAACCCACAATTGCCAAATGAGTATTCAAACTGATTTCTAGTAAAAAACATGCCAAGATTTAACCAGAAAGGTCTCATTTTCAGTCATAAGAAAATGCACTATTTTAACCTAGTCTAATGGATAAGCAACACTTGTATAGTGGGTTTCCAGGAAAAAGCAGGAAGCAATCAAATAACAAGAAATGCTCTCCAAAAGAAATAACAACAAATTTTCCCCTGTGTATACTTTTCTGTTCTCCAAAGAGAGACCTTAAAGCAGCACTATAACTCTGGTAAAGTCTGATGCATAGAAGACTTGTTCTGGCCACAATAGTAGCACAGCTGTTTCTCATAAAGAAAGTCCTCTTGACTCAAATGGAGACCCTGAGCAACAGCCGGCCCGACGCCAGATTCTACACGTGTGCATGGAGATCTGCTCTGCCCAGAGTAGTCGCTGCCTGGGGCAGGCCTGCAAAGGGCGGTTGCTGGGCCACAATGCGATCAGTCCAGAAATGAGCAGTACGTTTTAGAAACTCTTAGGGCAGTCTGCCACTGGCACAGGCTAAGAGGTGTCATCAGCAGAACAGTGCATAGACCAGCTAGGGCGCTGCTGCTCAATTTTCCTGAAGTCACATTTGGTGCAAGCTGAGGACCAGCCATGTGCTGTAAGACCATGTTGACAGCTGAAAATTTTAAGATTTGTCAACCATAACCCAAAAGTATGTAAAAATTAGAGAATATAAGCATTCCTCTACCTTTATAACATGTCATTTTTATAATAATTTTAAATCTAATTTAGCCTTAAAATTTTTATATTGAAATAATTATATATGCAAAGTAGGTTGCCAAAAATACGTATCAAGAAATCCTGTGTATCCTTCACCCAGTTTCCCCAAATTATAACATCCAAGATAGTGGCAGTATAACATCAAAAGCAGAAAATTGACATTGGTACAACCCACAAAGCTTATTCAGATTTTGCCAGTTTTATATGCGATCATTTGTGAGTGTATGTGTTTGTGTATTTGTGGTTCTGTGCAACATTATCACATATGAAAATTCATGTAACTGCAACCACAATCAAGATCCTTGACCATTACACCACCAGATTTCCTTATGCTATCTGTTAGAACTACCATCTACCACAACCCCTCGCCCTTGGCAACCAGGGAATCTGTTCTCCATCTCTATAGTTTGCTTCAAAAGGATTATATAAATGGAATAATGAAATATCTAACCTTTTGAAAAGGACTTTTTTTCATGCATCTTAATTGCCTTGAGACTCATCAAAATTGTTTTGCATATTAATAGATCTTTCCTTCTTGTTGCTAAATAGTATTCTAGGGTCTGGAAATGTACCAGGTTTTTAACCATCAACTTGCTAAAGGACATCCAGGTTGTTTCCAGTTTGGGGCTGTTATGAATAGATCTGCAGTGAACATTTGTGTACAGGTTTTTGTGTGAATATGAGTTTTCATTTCCCTGGAATAATTAACCAAGAGTGCTATTGTTGGGGTTATGTGGTTAAGTTTAGTTTAGAGTTTTAAAAAAACTGTATCATTATTTGCCAGAATCGGTATACT